ATCATAAGATAATATGGCTAATTATATATGCAGACAAACACTGTCGTTGTTGTTGGATATTTCACTTATTAACCAATTATTTGTAAAATAGTCACGTTTCGTAAACATGCATTATGCAGAACGCATTTTTCCCACAAACTATCTCATTTTCTCGCGCGAAAAGATGATGAGTGAGTACAACAAATAAAAGTAATTTTAAATTTGCGAAAAAACATTCGTTTTAAAAATTGTAGTTAAGCATTTCTGTTAAAATTTGGAAATGGAATAGCATAAACTGGCTGGGTATATAGATATAGTGTGACGGTTTTAGCTTGAATATATTACACTTAACAATAAACACAAGATTTATGAAAATAAACCAAATTGCAACTCATAAAACTTATAACATAAAATGGACGCACACTGTGCATGTCAAACGTCATCTGTCAACTTTCTACACAACTTTGTTAAACACTTTTTCACTAGGTGCTTTTAAATTTTGTTATCGACTGAAAACCACCAAGTTCTAAACAATAGTTTGATGGGGTATCATAAATGAAGTGAATATAAGATCTCAAAAACCGACTCTGCATTTGCAAACAAAGTATTCTTTTTTCTAAGATAATAATAAATATATTTCTTAAATCTTCTCGATGGTTAAATTTTTTAGCGGAATCATGACCAGTTACGGTCGCAATAAAATTATTTAAACAAAATTATGCCTATGCAAAAGTGTGTCGCAAAAAATATTTAATTATATTGTCAGTACCTACCTACATGCGTAGCTTATTCAGAAACAGTTTAAATATAATTTGAAAATCCAACAATTTGGATTCCAATCATATCCCCATATTACAGGATGTTTTTTAATTGGATATGAATATTTGAGGGGGCGATTTTTGGGTAAATTAAAAAAAAAAAAACTTTATATGAACGTATGTCCTAAACGTCTTAACTTTTGAGATACTGGGTGATAAAGTTTTCAAGAATAAATAATTTCTTATTAATATCTGTAACACCACTGTTATGAAATTTGTCATACACTTGGCCAATCCTAAAACTGGTATGCATTTTCCTACTGTGTTGTATTGTGTAAATCGACCCTCAACAATCAAATCAAATCAAAAAATGCTTTATCGTACAAAAAGGCCTTAAGACCCTTATTTACAAAGCTAAAATGGAAATAATACAAAAATAATACAAAAACATTATGAGAAGACACTGAAAGGTTACATGTTAAAATACTAAAAACTAATAAAGACAATCAAGATAAAAACATTAAAAAAAAAAACTGCTACTTAAAATGTCATTCACAAATCCAGTCAAGCTCTTATACAGGGTGTCCCAGAATGACAATAAGAGTCAAGTCAGTGTCATATTTAAACCAATCATAACATAAAACATGTTGCATTTACTTTTGTTTAGCTTTGACGTTGACAAAAACTGTCTGACCTAAGTTTTTCAGAAGAGACTTTTTTTTGTTAAGCCTGACTCACACTAGACAAATTTAAAAAATATATATTGCCTGTACCAGTTTTATGTTTGGCCAAGTGTACAGGGTTATCCAACGAAAGTGCTTTTTACCTTATATACCTGTTAATTGAAGAGGTACAAAAAAATGTTAAATATAAAAGTTATTGGGATTTTTATGAGGAGCATTAAAAAAAAAAAAAAATGGAAAGGCGGATTTAGAAAATATAGCAAAAAATTTAAACTGAATAACCCATTTTTGAATATGTTTTTGGATTCTACATTGAATTTTAGCCCTGATATATGTTACATGTCCTATAATTAAACTCAGCAATTTTGGAGATATCGCTAATCAACGATTTTTCAATATAAATTACGAAAAAAAATATATTTCGTCGTTGGAAGCTGGTAAGAGTGGTAAGTTCCCGTCTAGTCTTGCTTATTACCATTGTTTATAATCATTATATTGAAAACGTGTCCAATATTAGATGAAATATGCAAAATTTTGCTTAAATCCAGCTTCACCTGATTCACCTTTTACGTAATTTACCTTGGTAAAAGGTGAACCAGGTGAGGCTGGATTAAAGCGAAATTTAGCGTATTCGATCTAATATTGGGCACATTTTCGATATAATAATTAAAAACAATAGTAATAAGCAAGACTAGACGAGAACCTACTACTCTTACCAGCTTCCAACGATGAAATATCATTTTTTTCGTAATTTATTTTGAAAAATCATTAATTAGTGGATATCTACAAAATTGCTACATTTAACTCGAGGGCATGTAACATATATCAGGGCTCAAATTTAATGTAGAATCCAAAAACATATTCTAAAATGGGTCATTCCATTTAAATTAAGCAAGAAATGTTATTTTCTAAACCCGCCTTTCCATTTTTTTCTATAAATGCTCCTAATTCCTCATAAAAATCCCAACAACTTTTATATTTAACATTTTTTGTACCTCTTCAAATAACAGGTATACAGTAAGGGGCAGGCTACTAGGTATATAGGATGTAACCTGACGAATTTGCAGGCGTCCGCATGCCGCAAAATAACATCTATTTAGCGCTAACTGGTGACAACCAGGTAGAACAACCAAGGAGAAGGACCTGTCACTCAAAATCATCGAGTTACTCCGAAGTACTCCGGCTACAGTTTGACCTGTTCGGTTTCAAGCGTTCGAGTGAAAAACGCATGGAGTATGACAGGTTACTGACAGGTGTGAAATGTTCTAGGAGCACCCGAAAGCGGCTCAAGTCACAGCAACGAGTTAAACATTTATGTGGAGAAAATTATCCGATAGATTTTTTTCTGCATTGCCACTGCTAGGGTTGCTAACAATTTTCAAAAATACGGGTGCGTTACTCCCCGAAACCATTACGTCCAGGAAAATAATTAGAAGCAAGAAGCAAAATAAATTATGTTGTTGGAGTTAGTCACCTAACGAAACTCCAACTAAATCGACTCGTGCGCTTGCGCACGAGATTGACTCAAGTATAAGGACGGTGAGTAGGCTACTGAAAAAAAAATAAGTATCATTCGTACAAAGTACGAAACTCCCAAAAAATTGATCCTGACGACAACATCAGGCGAATAGAGTTTTGTGAAACTGTTATGAATAAGGCAAATGAAAATGAAGATTTCCCTAGAAAAATTATCTTTACAGATGAATCAACATTTCAACTCTATGGTTGACAGAATCCTAGACCCAGCCGTTATTGGTCTAAAGAAAATTTAGATAGGTATCTTGAACTTAGAACCCAGCGTCCTCAGAAGGTAATTGTATGGAGAACATGTTATTGGGCCGTAATTCATTGATGGTAACTTGCTTGGTCCAAAATATATGAATCTTTTGCAACGGCAAACAGAAATTAGAAGATAAGCTGGTCCTAGATTTAATGGAACATGATTTGAACAAGAAGGTTGTCCAACCTATAATACGGGTTTCATTCTGGAGTATTTAAATAATAATTTTCCAAGCCGTCTTATTGCTGAGTTAAGATCTCCAATACCGTAGCCAACCTGCTCTCCTGATCTTACACCTAACGATCTCGGTGGTTATGGCAAGACAAAAATTTATGTTTTGAACCTAAAGAAGCTGGGTGTCTAGATTCGAGAGATCTATCTATCGCTCCTGTGATGCTAAATAAGGTTCGTAGAGCATTCTATGATCGTAGGTCATTGTTTAGCTCAAGAACAAGGACTATTTGAACATTTGCTTCACTAAATTATACGCTTGGAATGTTTTCTTTCCTAAGAACGGAAAAAATACTATCATATTAGACTTTGCTATGATGATTGTTTCGGTTCGAAAAAAAATCTATTGATAACAAAGGCTCAGCTATCTACACCGTCCAGACGCTACGTTTTGCACAACGTTTTATCTGCACAGTTCAACACGTTGCAGACCAAACGTTGTGATCAGTAGTCTGTAACGTAGCGTCTGGACCGGGCTTAAGTCTGTATCATAGAACGTACTGAAGTGAACAAACTCAACGAATGTCAAAGTCATCAAACGAACGACAGCGACAGGATTTCAAACGGCTGCGGACGGTCGTAAATTCGTCAAGCTGGATCCTATATACCTTGTCGCTTGCCCCTTACTGTATAAGGTAGAAAGCACTTTCGTTGGAAAACCCTGTACATGTAGTATGCATTAAGGGGCATTTTTTAATGTTCGCGTTCGCACCGAATTTGACCTGCCCAGTTTGGCAGACATTGATAGAACGCCACTGATTTCTCTTAAAATAAAAATTATTCTTGAAATCCCCAATCATTTCTAAGCAAAGTTGTTGATCACTTGATTTTCTACAATCCGATGATTCCAAGTCACGGTTTCCAACTAAAAAATAAATAAAATATGTTTCTCTGCATGGTGGGTCCGATGTTGTTATGATCACGCAGAGAAGCAGTTTTTAATTTTTTTGAGCGAAAACCGTGCATCGGATTGTAAAAAATCAAGTGAGCAACTTCACTTGAAAATTATTGGGGATTTCAAAAATAGTTTTTATTTTAAGAGAAATCATCGGCGTACCATCAATATCTCCCAAAACAGGAAGGTCAAATTCTGAACGAACGCCACTGGTGGAAATTTTGAAAAAAATGAGGTACATCAAAAAATTCCTCTTGATAGATGGTACCTACATATATCCCAAATTTCATTGAAATATCTAAAATGTCGTTACAGATATCCATAATAAATGATTGATTTTTGAAAACTTTATCACCTCGTATCTCAAAAGTTAAGGCTATCAGAACATACGTTCATATGAAGCTTTCTTCTTGAAATGGACCCAATAATCGCCTGCTCAAATATTGACATTCAATTAGAAAACACCCTGTATAATATTTTCTTAGCATCTTACATTTTTAAACATGGGGGTTCGGGGTTCGTTGAATAAAAAACTTTGGACTTTCATTACCATTTGGTTTATTGTTACGACTGTCTTTTACTTGCAGTATACCTGCAAAATTTGAAATTTTGTGATTTGCTTGATAACCGTATTCATGTTAGTTGTTTATTTTTGCTATTTTTTCTTGTTTCAGATTTATCTGGCCAAATATCAGATATCTCACTACCATCAATTACATTTGGCAATAACACCGACCGGATACATATCGAATATCCCGTGCCTGGAATTGAGTATGACCAATCAGTAGGTAAGAAAATACCATTTTAGTTATTAAATTTCTAAGAAATTATATGGGCTAGGGTGCAGCGGGGTAAACGCGGCATGGTAATGCGATTTTCATTTTCAAACGTGCATTTCTAAGGCATTTATGAACATAGAAAACTTTTTTTTTTTAATTGAGCTTAACTATTGTGCTAAACGAATCAGCACTTTATATAAGAATATTACTGCACATAAAGTGTCACGATTTTTTTTTTTTTTTCATTGGACAAATGCCACAATTACCCCGTGATTTGGGGCAAATGTGGCCGAGAGTCAAGGTTCCCTACTGAAACGTGTTAGACATGCTTTGGGGCAATGATGGCATAGAGCGTGTGAAGACGAACACTTTTGTTTTTTGCTCGACTTTGTAGCTAAATAAATAGGGAAGCACGAATGAAATACAAAATCCAAATCAAAAAACTGGATTAATAAACATACAACCTTAACCAAAGCGACCTAAGGAACAAAATCTCGCTTAAAGCTCGTAAAATCAAATTTTAGCAAAATTCTCATAACAAGAACTTAAAAAATAGGAAAAAAAAAATAAAATAAATCAAATTCTCTGATGCAAAAAAAAGAAAGTATATTACATGGGGTAACAACATGTTTTTACTCCATTTTATAGCCTACAAATGACACTGAAAATTTAAAAATGTCACGACGAGTGTTAATTGGGGGTGGTAATTTTTTCTCAATATCATGCTGACCAACAATAGAAATGTCGTGTCTATGCACCGAGAGTTTACCCCTAAGTCATAAAACACGGCATGGCTATAAATCATGCGAAATATAAAGAGAGGACGAGTTCTACCTGAAATGAAATTCTCAAAATGTTTTGTGGTCAAGAAATTTTGTGAAGAAATATAATTTTTACAGATAGGTATTTACATTTCGTATTTATTTAAAATCCAATATATTCATCTAATGCTGAGTATAGATTATTATACTTTTATTATTATTATTATTACATATTGTTTACAAGTGAAACATAATTATTATCTAACTTAACACAAAATTTTGTTTTGTTTGGAAAGCACTGGAATTTCGGTATAAATCTTGTTCAAAAACTTTGATAGGCCCTATATTAATTCAGGTGCTGGTGTACCATTTTTCAAAGTTACTTGAAGATATAATTTTGTCAAGTAATATTTTTTTATGTAGTAAATTTTAAATAGGCAACTACTCTATAGACATTGATTTCCGACGTCGGTAACTCAAAAACTCTAAAATTAGTTTGAAAAAGGACTTTATAGAACTAAATGTAAATTCGTTCACTTGGTCTTGTGCTAATTTATTGTCAGCCCTGTGTTTTACAGCTTATGGGTAACCTCTGGATCCACAGACTATACCTGAGGCCATACAAAACTATCATTTTTGCCTTGTCTTAAAAACCTCACTGTAAATTCGTCTGATTTCTGACGTTGCCACGTTTACCTTGAAAAATTGCCACAATTGCCCCTATAACCTTCTATGGGGGAGGGAGGGGCAAATGTGGCAGACTGTCTAGTAATGCTGTGCTTCAAATTACAACCATTTTGACATCAAAAATGGACTCAGGGTTCAAAATTATACATGCAAAAGTGTTCGAAGTACTTGAAATACATCGTAGAGCTTCGATAAAAATTAAAGTATAATATTGTGTCCAAGTACGAGTTATACCTAAAAAAGGCAACGTGGCAAAACTTAGGAAATTTCGGTTCACACAAGTTCTAAGTTTTCTATTCAATAAACCCTATACAGTAGACATATTAAGAAGTAGGTTTGGCATGTTCCGACCCTGGAATGTAGTTTTTTTTTTTTTTTTCACAAGTGCCACTTTTGCCCCAAACCGCAATTAGCCCACTTCACCCTAATCTTGCTACAAACTTATAATATACCAAAAATACATTAATACTCATTGATCATTGAAAAAAAAAAAAGAATTCCTAACAATACGATTGTTTTTCAATATAAAAACAGGTAGTTGATATCGATAAAATTAATCTCTGCGGAAGCAGCTGATTAATAAAATTCAATTAGGTACCTATTGTTTATATTGTTTGCAGATCTAATATAACACTACTATCAGTGAAAAACAGGAAATAATTCTAGTTTATATTATATATGTACTTAGGTATTTGATATTGTTATAAAGGTAATTTTAGAATTGTTCAAGTTTGAGAAATGTTTTCAAATATTTCGATCTTCAAAAGACTTTGGATGCTTGGAGGATTTCAAAAAATATTCATCTGAAATATAATACAGAGCTTTAAATCCTTACGCATTTTTTGTGGATTTTATTATCTCCAAAACAATTGCTCAGAACAATTATATACTTTAATCTTACGAAATTGCATCGAAAAGCCGGCCAGAATCCTGAAAACCCTGATGTTTACGTCTAGAGCCCGTTTATTCCGGGAATTTTATTGTATTCGAGAAAACAATACTAGATAAATCCGGAGTACGATGTCGTCTATGAATAGCGCATAGTAGACATTTGGAAGTCATTTTTAGTACGAGATTTGTTGTGTGGTTTAAGTCAAGCGATAAATCAATAATGTCAGGTTGTTCAATGAAAGTTGGTATTCTTTGCGAAGTGAGTTTTAGCGAAACCAGAATCCATGACAATAATTAAAATCACATCATTTGAAACTCCATGGAACTTTTAATTTATTTTTATGGATAACGACCGCTGATAATCAATAGGGTTGTGAATAACTGTAAAAAAAGTAAATAAAAAACTTTTGATTGACCGATTTCCAGTTATTCACAACCCTATGAAACTTTTAATGTTAATTCAAAAACATTTTTTGCTCTAAACTGACAGTTTTCAATTTGCTTCTCTAGTTGTTGGGTATTTCGTGATGGAAAGGTGGTGACAAAAGCCTCGTCGAATTTCATGCCATGTCAGCGTGTGTTTTGCTACGGTGTAAACAAACTAGATTAATCAGAAACTGTTTTTGTTACCTTTGACCTGCGTAGAATTTTTAACTGCACAACATCAATTTGCTTTGGAACCGCAATATCGAGTTTTATTCCAAATTCTAGGTTTTCGGGATTTTTTCCGATGTTGGGTCTTGTCTAATGTCTGGCTAATATAGAAGTTTGATGTTGGCAACAAAAATTTTCGTCATCTTCTCCAACTGACATTAAACCCAAATATTTCAACTGTTGCTTGAATATTTTTTTCGGAAACTCCATATTAGTAATAGTATATTTTCGTTTATCTTGAGCATATATTTACAATGGCTTATATTATTGTCAGCAGCTTTTTGCTTTTTTCTTACATAGGTGGGTGACGTAGGTGCTTGAATTAAACGCAGTTGTTGGTAATCTAGATTGTAAAATGATAATTATTCTTCTAGTGGTATTGTGTTGTTATTAATTGATGAGTTAGGTGGAATAGGTCGGTACTTGTTATTTTGAAAATGAATATTATGCACCTGATACTTCAATGTAAGTATATTGTTGATTTTTGAGTTCACACATACATCGGATAATCGAAAATATTTCAACTAAGATATGTTCTACCTATATCTAGGCTTATTTTAAATCCTTACTCTTATTTGATATTTTTAAATAATCAGCAACGCACTAAGCAAAAAACATTTGTGACGTTTGTTAACACTACTTAGCAAACGTTTTCCTTGAACAGTCCATTACAGTGACAAATTCGAATTTTTTAACGTTAAAACGCATTTGTTATGGCACATAATGAAACATGCTTGTAACGTATAGTAGATGTAGAGTTTGAAAACGTGTCATTTTCAACATCTCGGACATATAAACTTCTTCGTTCGAGAACGGACAAATTTTGTATTTCCCATAACATCCGCTTATTAAACCTTCTTGAAACGTTTTTTCAGACTATATAATAACGGTTTTATCTATGCCACATAAATGCTACGTTAAAAAAAAACGACATTAATAACCTGATTGAGATGTTTCTAAAACGTAACATTTCAACAACATGATTCGGATAATGCCACGTTGCGGAACTTATCACGACTATGCTGTTACATTACGATAACCTCAGAAAACATTTGGTATTTGGACGAAGCTGGAATGTTATTAGTCCAAGAAACGGAGATCTGAAAAGAGGGGTTACCTCAACATAATTAGAAGTTGAAATTTTTTTGGGGGGATCGGTCCATTTTAATATGCTAAACAACATATTAAGTTTGCGACCTTGTAGTTCCATAGGATTTTCAGTTAGGGGTGGTTTTTAGGGGTAATTTGCGGTTTATGGAGAACGCTGCTCAAAGGGATGGTTCAATAGTAAAAAGTTTCAAATGAATGTTGTAGCTGAAGTTTTTTGCTATAAAAAAACTCAGCGACAGCACCCCTCTATCTTCTATAGTTTTTTTTCTGCAGCGTCTTGAATAGTAGCATGTTTTTGTTTAAGGTCACTGAATCAACGTTTTGCCATTTTGCGCGCATTTCTTGCAGCAGCGGCCGAATTCATAATCCGATTTCAATTTTTCAAACACCACATTATTGCTAATTAAATGCACTCTCCAATGCTTTTTTGTTCGAATTTTTTGCTTGAAAATTACGAGAGCACGGACTTGTCTAATGTGCGAGGAAGTTGTAAATTGCATCGAAAACTACCCCTTTCTTGCATTCACTCTAATTTCTAAACGGGGCCAAATATTTGGTGACAGTTTTCGACAATCGGCAGCCCATTTATTCCTCTCATAATGCCCCAGCGGATTTTTTTTTTCGTTAATTACTTAATGACTTATTGGCCTGAAAATGTCGCGCGGGATTTTTCAAAAAGTAAAAAAAAAATAAAATTGTCGCATAGCGCTGAAATTTGGTACGATGGCCTTATTTCTTGTTCTTACGAATATACTGCAATTTAAATTGCTTCACATGATATAAAATTGCAGTATATTCATGAGAACAATAAATAAAGCCATCGTACCAAATTTCAGCGCTATGCGACAATTTTAATTTTTTTTTACTTTTTGAAAAATCCCGCGCGACGTTTTCAGGCCAATAAGTCATTAAGTGATTAACGAAAAAAAAAATCCGCTGGGGCATTATGAGAGGAATAAATGGGCTGCCGATTGTCGAAAACTGTCACCAAATATTTGGCCCCGTTTAGAAATTAGAGTGAATGCAAGAAAGGGGTAGTTTTCGATGCAATTTACAACTTCTTCGCACATTAGACAAGTCCGTGATCGCTTAATTTTCAAGCAAAAAATTCGAACAAAAAAGCATTGGAGAGTGCATTTCATTAGCAATAATGTGGTGTTTGAAAAATTGAAATCGGATTATGCAGTCGGCCGCTGCTGCAACAAATGCGCGCAAAATAGCAAAACGTTGATTCAGTGACCTTGAACAAAAACATGCTACTATTCAAGACGCTGCAGAAAAAAAAACTATAGAAGTTAGAGGGGTGCTATCGCTGAGTTTTTTATAGCAAAAAGCTTCAGCTACAACATTAATTTGAAACTTTTTGCTATTGGACCATCCTTTTGAGCAGCGTTCTCCATAAACTGCAAATTACCCCTAAAAACCACCCCTAACTGAAAACCCTATGGAAGTACAAGGTCGCAAACTTAATATGTTATTAGGCACATGAAAATTGACCGATCCCCCCCAAAAATTGTTAACTTCTAATTATGTTGAGGTAAACTTCCTTCATTGCTTGGACTATATGTGATTTGAGGGAAATTAAAATTTAATCCTGCTGAAGCATACGTGAATGTCTGTATGTTTGAGGTGGATTTATAATATTACCTCGCATTTTTTGGGACTTTGCAAAAAATGCAAGGTAATATTATACGCATCATGCTTCATAATTAAATAATTTTATGTAAGTAAGTAAGTTTATTAATCAAAAAATATTACACTTGTTAATTAAGCAATGTATAGGAAATATGACGCTTAAGTTTTCTTGAAACTTGTACGCGCCTTAACTGTTAGTACATTTTTCTATATATTATTGTATATTTGCTTACATATCTAAATTTATTCTAGTCTTAATAAACTAATTATAATTGGGTACCTAAGTATAAGTAAAATTAGGATTAAGGTACCTACCTATATAGTATGATATAGTACCTTTAAAAATAGCTATATAATAAGGAATTGAATAATGCTTTCAAGCGAATGAGTGAATAAACCCAGCTAGAGACAAGAACAGATAAAAAAGGAAAGAAAAAAAGGAGATCAATATTGAAAATCAAGCTACTGTGGTGTTCGTCATTTATCAGTAGGCATGATTGATAATTTGATGTACGTGACACCTATTGGTACGCAGCCAACAAGTCAAAGATTCCTTAAGCGTATTTGTATTGCTTTTATTCTTTATGTTGCTTGGGAGTGAGTTGTATAGCCGAGGCCCTATATAGCTAAAAAATCTCTGACCTACGGTTTTATTAACTCTGGTAGTTTTAGCATTTTGCTTTGTACGGGTTTCGTATTTGTGATTGATGTGTTCGAGTTCGGATTTATTCCTAAATATATTTACCAAAACTGTATGTGCATACAGTTGTCTAACATCAAGTAGTTCAGTCTCTGCGAAAAGAGATTCGGTTGAGTAGATTAAAGGTTTATTAAACAATATTTTTATTATGCGACTTTGTATCCGCTGGAGAGGTGCAATTATTGTTTTAGCAGCTGCCCCCCAAATTATTATGCCATACCGTAAGATAGATTCAGCGAGGGCTTTGTAAATAATAATTAGTTCTTTGAGTTTTAGAATTCCTTTAAGCTGCTTGAGTTTGTATAGTACACATCGCAGTTTTTTATGGACGCTTTGGGTTTGGTTCTCCCATCGGAGGTTACTATCTATAAATATTCCTAAATACTTAATAAAGGTTGCCGACTTAATAGAGAGTTTTTTTACATCATTTGGAATGGTTAGTTCAGTAAAAGCAGGAAGATGTGACTTATAGGATGCGAACGGTAGGTAAAAGGTTTTATTATAATTAATTGTAAGTTTTTTGTTATCAAATAACTTTTTTATTTTTTTCAGGTCTTCTTCGCAGATGTTTTTAAGTTCGTCCCAATTGTTGGCTTCATAAAAGATTGCAGTGTCGTCTGCAAAACTAACTATACTTCCAGAAACATTAGAGGTAAGTATACTGTTCATGTATATAATAAAGAGTATGGGCCCTAATACTGTCCCTTGTGGGATTCCATATCCTGCTGTACCAGAATCACTCAAACTAGATCCGATTTTTACAAACATTTTTCTATCGTCTAGGTAACTTTTTAGCAAAGTCTGACTTAGCCCCCTGAAGCCTATTCTTTCTAATTCTCTTAAAAGATTTGTATGAGATACTGTATCGAAAGCTTTTTCTAGGTCTAGGAAAATGCACAAGGATGCTTTTTTGTTATCCACTGCGTTGTATATTTTTTCGGTAAGTCTAGAGATAGCATCACTTGTGGATTGTCCCTCCCGGAAACCGTACTGATTTTTTGATATAATTTGATTTTTTTTCAGGTAAGATTCCAAACGATACTTCAAGATTTTTTCAAAGATTTTACTGAATACAGATATGAGTGATATTGGTCGATAGTTCTCAATGGTATGGGCATTTCCTTTCTTAAAAACTGGAGTAACAATCGCTTCTTTAAATTTTTCTGGATAAATACCAGTTGAAAAAATGTTGTTGTATATATGTGTTAATGGCGCAGCAATTTCATGTTGTATGTCTTTCACAAGTTCGGCTCTTATATTATCGTTACCTGGTGCTTTTTTTAATTTTAATTGATTAATATGTTTTTTTGTTTCAGTGGTATCTATTGGGAATAAAAAGAAGTTGCTATCCAGTCTTGGAGAGGTGCTATTTTCGTTATCTACAGTTATTTTATTAGCGAGTACCTCACCTATGCTGCTGTAAAAGTCTTTAAAAAGGTCAGCTTTTTCCTTATCGTCAGTAATTTTTTCATTCTGATTGTTAAATATGTACGGAATATTGTTATTACTTTTTTTGGATCTAGTAGTGAAATCATTTATCACTGACCAGAGGTTTTTTGTATCAAGTTTTACAGAATAAATTTTTTGTTTGTAGTAAAAGTTTTTCGTTTTTTTGATAAGTTTTGTTAAGTTGTTTCTATAAGATAAATACTTTTTTTTAATTTCTCTTCTTTCAGGATTATTTAAAAGTTGTTGATATAATTTATCTCGTGTTTGCATAGATTTAATAATACCTGCTGTGATCCAAGGCTTTCTTCCTTGTATAGGTTTTTTTATTGATTGCTCTATCGTGGATTCTATTATTGCACAGTTTAATTTATCTAGAAATGTGTTGGCTAAATCATTAGGGTTATTTACTCTATAGAACTCGTCCCAATTTATAGATTGCACTTTAGATTTGAACATATTATTATTAAATCTTTTCGCTGTTCGAGGTGAATCTTCGCTTCTAGAAGTATTACATATATTTAAATTTAAGTCTAGGATAATGGTGTAGTGATCAGTAATATTGTTTTTTATTACTGTTGGTAGAAATGGATGATTGCTGTAGTTGCTTTTCAGGAAGATATGATCGATACAAGTCCCTGATCCGTTATTCTCTCTAGTGGGTGTACTAATCATGGGCACATAACCAAATTCACTCATCGTTTCTAAATACAATATGGAAGTTGCAGGTAGTTCATATTTTTTAAGTATGTCTATATTCAGATCTCCAACCACTAACGAGAAGTCGAATTTTTCATTTACATTATTGTTTAAAAAAAATTCTAAATTTTCGCAAAACATTTTTGGGCACGTAGAAGGAGACCTATATATACACAAAATTTCAATTGATTTGTTCTTAACCTCTGTTTCTACCTTTATACAAGAAAACTCTCCTATTGCTTCCAGCTTGGAAGAAAATGACAAACTATCTTTGATATATACGAGAATCCCATCATTTTGGTTGAAAGGACTTAGGTTGTAAATTAAGTTAAATCCATCAATATTGAATATGGATGTGTCTGGAATTTTCCAGGTTTCACTCAGAACTATAACTTCAAATTTGTTTTTGAACTGTTGTAGGAACACATTGAGTTCATTGAAATGCTTTGCTAAACTACTAATATTTAATCCTAATATTCTAAAATCGGAACAAAATTTACTTTCCTTTAATATAAATTCATAATCTTTGACATTTAATACTACATTATTTTTAACATTAATTCCATCGAAATCGCGTATGAAGTAATCCATGACTATGCTATAGGAGGTTGTACATAAGAATATCAATTTAAAAGAAAAACAGTTTAATTTTTTTTCAGTTTTTTCCTAAGGCGTCGTGCTGGAAAATTTTTTTGCTCAGGGCTTGGGGTTTCTGTCTTCCTCTTACTACTGTTCCCATTCGAAGTTGACCGATTCTCCAATACTTTCTTATGATTTCCCCTCCCCTTTGTTTTGGTCCCCCCTACTTTAGGCTGCTTTACTGTTTTCTCAGTTTCTTTCTCCGTAGCTGAAGATTCACAATCACTTTCTTCTAACGTGTCGTAGTCTTCACCTGAGTTCTCTAACTCACTGGCTGTATAGAGATTATTTTCTATTTCCAGTTTGAACCCCTTGATTTTTGCAGGTACGTTATTTTCGCGAGCAGCTTTAAGGTGCTTTCGAAGAATTTGTTGTTGTCTTCTGTCTTCCTCGCAGTAATCATTAGAGATTGAGATCTTTTTCTCTCTGAGGGCTTTCAATTTATCCAGATTTTTGAAGGTTTCTAGCTTCTTCAGAAACGATACGAATTCGACAACTATCGGTTTTTGTGGACCTTTTCCAATTTGGTAAATATTGTTTATATCAGCCAACGAAAAACTTGTACCAACCAGTTCATTAATGCTGGACAATGTTTTGTTAGCAAGATCGGTTTCATCAGCTAGTAATCCAAAAATTATGATGTTATTCTTCCTGAGTTTACGTTCTAGAAAAATACATTTTCTGTCCAATTCACTAATCTTTTCTTCAGTTTTCTTAAGTTTCTGGTTTATGTCTGCAGTATTAGCGTTAATCTCTTTCTTAAGATCGCTAGTTTGTTCAGAAAGCAGCGATTTAATGTTTTCTATTGTTAGATCCGACATTTGCGTGAAAAATTATAGGTGTTCGGCTCCGTTGATGTGTAGATTCCTTGTCGGTGCGGGTGGAACTAAGTTATGTTCGATTTATTTGAAATTAATTTGCTCGTATGTAAATGGTACAAACATAATATTACGTTGTGTTACGCAATTACAAACGAACTTGTATCACTTCATAATGAGCCAATTATATCCCATGCTTTTCACACCTTACGATCGTATCACATTTTATGACTGTTTAAAATAATCAAACTATTATTAGCAAGTTTTAGAGTAGGTACTTTAATTATCTACGTCACATTGTTTTGTTAATTTTGTCAGTAAATAAAACATTTTCAGGTTAGGCAATACAAATTTAAAATATTCAAATATTATATTTTCAAAAATTATAAAAAAAAAACTTTTTAGATCATTAAGCTTAAATTGAAGCTTAACTAATAGGACATAATATTAACTTCACAAAACCACCCTAAAGGCATATTATTTTGATTTCCTTTGTTTTCATGGATCCCCCATAAATTACTATTCAAAAAACATGATCAAGCCAAGCGACAATTAGGAACAAAATATCCATTCAAGAAGGTACCTATATGGTGATATTGTGACAGTTATTTCAATAGATAATTTTTTTTTCCATGTCCAATATAGGTACTTTTGTCCATCATCTGTTTTTCATTTAATTCTTTCTGTACTTTATGATTTGAAGTGATTTCTAATTTTTTTGTGTGTACAGCAGTAGTAGTAGTGACCTAATGCGAGTTGTATTGTATTGTTTAAATAAGACAAATACACCAGCGTTCCTCGGAAAACAAATGCCAAGTAAATCTAACAAATCCTCTCTTTTGTTTCAGATCAATCATCCCTAGACACCTGGTCTGTTATTTGGTACATAGCATCCTTTGGTGGTCTGATTCTCTTTTTTCTAATCATATCCTGTAGCGAATGGTGCTGCAGACGTAATGCTCGTAGAAACTGTCAATTGAACAACAATTCACAACAGACGTCTCAAGTGGTACCAGATACGCCTCCACCATCTTACGACCTATTTGCTCCTCCATCGTATGAAGACTTATGGGTAGGGAGCAGTAGGGGACGAAGAGGCGAAAAAAGCGAATACGACATATATGTGGTACCTGTACATGCTTTAGGTAGTTCTCAATTTATTATACTCATATTATTTATAAGCTTGAGCTTCGAGTTTTTGTTTAACATAAACTATACAAAAAGGTAACGAGTTTCTTTGAAAGTTCGTTCAAGATTCAAAAGGGGTTGAGACTGAATATTACCATCTTTTAAGCTGGATTATAAACTTCAGTTTGCCATTCCTATGTGTTGATGTTGTTTGTCGATCATAGTTTTGAGTGATTATTACAACTATTGACAGATCGTTCGTTGAGAAACTGATTTTTCCAGGGAACAATTGTGCTTGTACTTAGTTCTGCAGCAATTGAGATGGCATGTAATATGAAATCACGTCAAATCGGTTTAAACTCTCGCGGGAGTTTTCAGAAATTTTCCACTTATGGACCAACGAGGGTAAGGCAAGCACTCCCAACGTCACAAATCTAATTTTGGTTTAGCATGAAAATAATCAGCCTCGGATTAGGACTACTCAGAAATTGTTTGTCTTTACCAAATGGCAAACATTTGTAGATACGAGCTTGATTGCTTTGGGAAAAGTTTGCACATGTATCTTCAGAGGTTTATGAAAATAGAAAAAATACACGAAATCGCTTTTGTATGGAAGCATTTTTAATAATTTTAAACTATAAAAGATCTTTTGTAGTGTTGTTTGTTGGCAATCATCTACTGATTATCCTTTGATGTCTATTGTGTTTTAATCCGTGTTTCTGTTAGTCATAAATTCCTTTTTTTTCATGTTTATTTATAATACTATCTTGTTTGACTTGTTTGCTTCTATCTTAAAGTCCTACAGTATTTCTCCTAGTTCGGTTTGATTGAACTGCTGCCGAATATCATGGTGTCATCCGCATGTTTCAGGTTGTTGAGATTTCTGCTTGGAAGTTTAGTACTTAGTTCTTACAAAGGGACTCTCCTCAAACAAGAAGGTGAGATGATTTCCCCATGTCATACTCTTTTTTCTAATTAGATTTTTTTAGTTGTTTCGTAGTGTAGTATCCTCATTTTTTTCTAGTCGATTAGTTGTTATTCCCATGAACAGTTTATAGATCTGTGACCTGTGTTTCGTAGGTTTGTTTGGATCTCCCTTCTTGTACATCAATATCATAATGGAGTTTTCCGATCCTTCTGGTACTGTTCCTTCTATTCGCCATCATCATCGTAGTATAGGAAGTCTCTCTACATTGTCATTATGTATGGATTCTTTGATGGCTAACTACGCTTATTCTGGACCCATCCAGTCATCGGTAGCCGGTCGTTGTTTTGAACCAGCTTCTATCAGACTTTCTCTTTTTTTCCTACGATTCCCTAGGGACCTCTGTATCCCTTCACCTTTGTGATTCGGAATACTACGATCCTTGATAGCAATTGACAAAGTATATATTGCTATATCCTCTCAGTGACAAAATGTGCCGGCGTGTAACTAACAGCTCCCAGATTTCATAATCCTGCTCCTGTCGAAAGTTATCAATCGTCGCCAGTGGCGGATCCAGGATTTTCTTCAGGGGGGGGCGCAGGCTAAGAATTATCAACAATGATTTTTTGAAAATTTATTTCTACTTTACTTATACGTTAAAGAATGTAGATAAAGGGTGGTCCAATTTGGATACTTTTGATCTGAAACGTCAATTTTTGAGCCAGATACATAAAAATGAACTCTCCAGTCTGCTGAGGCTCAAATTTAATGATATCTTGACTGGTGCAAACACTGCAACCCGCCTTTTGATACCCTCAACCGTTTTGCCGCTAGAGGGTGTTTCTCGATTTTGAGCGATAAGGTGAAACCTTCCTAACTTTTTTATTTATGAAAATAATTGATTTCTGTATTAATAAAAAACCCTATTTATTAATAACTCATTGATAGCTCTATTATTGCTTATTTTAATGACACATATAAGGTTTAATAGGCCTATCTCTAACAGTTTTCTAGAAAAAAAATTATAGATATTTCAGTCAAGAGAAACAAATTGTTAGAAGGAGACCTATCTCATTTTCCTTATGGATATAGAGTTCTTTTTTAACACATTGTTTCTTATGACAAAACAGATATAATTTTTGTCTGGAAAACTCGAGAGGTTATTCACTTAGGGAAAAATGTGACAATATTTCGGATTTAGAGCGATTTTGAGGGAGTTCGGGTGATTTCGAAGAATTTCGGTAGGATTTCGGAAAGATTTCGAGGGATAATTCATTCGTCGCATGGTGCGCAGACATTTGATGAGTTGAATTGACAGGGTTTTCCTTCAAACAAAAAACACGAAATAATTTTTTCGAAAATCTACTTACAATATTGGTGTAGTTTAAGAAAATGACGCAACAATCATCAATCAAAATCCGTTCATAAAGTCTATAAACTTTTTCGTGTGCGTGATCTGAGATTTTGGACGCTGATTGGCCAAAATTAGGGAGTCGACTTGGGCGACCAGCGCTCAATTTAAACGATTATTCCAAGGCCCTAGTGAGGCCCAAAATCTAGCCAATCAGCGTCCAAAATCTCAGATCACACACTCGAAAAAGTCTATAGATTTTATGAACGGACTTTGAAAAATATATATTGGATTTGTATTTTGTTACAGGTACCATCATGGAAGAAGCCAGAAGAGAAGATGCACCACCGTCATACCAAAGTGCAAGTACAAATCTGGCCCATCCAGGTGATCTACAAGAGGTGTACTTGTCTACTGGAACAACGAGGGTGACGTGAAAATAACATTGATACAAAAATATGTTATACAAGACTGCTATTTTGATTTTATTTAAATTAAGAGGTTATTATTTTCTTGTCAATTTTCATAATATTTATTTTCGATTTGGTAAAATAAATTATTATGATTTATTGTTTTCAAGAAAAAATAATAAACACATAGCTTAAAAACAGCATAATGTGAGTGACTAAAAATCAAAAAATATGAATAAAACTGATACCATTAATTATTGTAATGCGATGAATTTCAGTTTCTCGATTTTTGGGTCTTCCATACCTAGGTACCTATACTGATTTGGGGTACCTATTATATCTCAGCGAATGATGAGAGCGATAATTTATATTACTGATTGTAAAAAAATGTCACGACTACATCGCAAAGACTAATATACAATATGTGTGACTAATTAAAAAACCAATTTGAAAACATCCCGTTTTCAAAAGGAAAAAAGGTGTCCCACAAACACTTGATCGCCTGATAATGTAATAATTAGATTTAGCACTACGACCGTCTCTAATCATATTATGCGTTCGTAAACATTTCAGAATAAAGTATAATATGACATGTGGCTTCATTTATTCAAGGATTAGATAGAAGTGCCTACTTGACAAATATTTTCTATACAATTTAAAAAATATATAAATCATATCATGTAATCCTTAAATCCTTAAAATCATATCAAACACCTTCCACATAATGTATTCAAGAGGAGTTTCTGGAAATATATATCTGGCAATAGGATTTAGGAAAGTTCCTTGATGCGAAACTAATTCATTTATTATAATATATACCTACATTCCAAAGATATTATTCTTATTCTTTACAAAAATTGTATAAAATTTAAATTGCACACACGAAAATGTTAATAATGAAAATTCCTAAAAAATCTGTGGTATCTAAAAAATTAAATTCCTGACTGACAAAATTTCAGTATAAAATTAGTAGCCATTATAGTTATTAAAAATTGTGATAAATCCTTTAAGTTAAGATATTTATATATAAAATAAAAACAATGTCTCTAAGAACAGCGGATTTTATCTGACATATAAGATTCTTCCTTGAAACCAATTATTCAAATATTACTAAATTAAATAAAACACACTTAAATCTTTGGAATAGGATTCAAATTTGACTAATTTTCCTAATTATTTTTTATACAAGTTTATTGTTAGTTGGGATATGCTATATGTATGTGCATTTATTGAAAACTAGTTAATCATATTATGTGTCACAAAAAGTACAATATTGTATTTGTACCTGTTTGTAAATATCTGTTATTTAACTAATGGTTTGTACAGTTGCGTAAACTTATTTATTTAGAGTTAAGTATTTGTGATTTCGTATGTGTCATTGTTCATTTGAGTTATTTTTTTTACGACATGTTATGTTGGAAGTTTATTGGGAAAATACAAATTTGATTGTGATTTGTGATATATATAACTGTTTTATTTTTGTTAAATTTCGAGCTCCCCACAGGGTAATCAAGTGTGATGATATTAGTTTTAATGTCAGTGTCGTGCTGGTAAGTGTGAAAACCCCTTAATGAACTCAAAATTTTGATTTTTTTTCTGTTACACTGACAAGCAGATTAAAAAAAAAATCAAAATTCTATTTTTATCACACCCAAACGGGTGGTTACTTGGTTTTGCTTGGTAAGACTTCGAAGAGAGGAAGCCACATGCGTTTCGATTTTTGATCTCCTCCAAACCTGTTTCTCTGAGTTGATGTGCTTTAGCTTAGGTTATAGAGTACTTTCTAATTTCAACGCGCGTTATTCGACAATAGGCTTTCTTAATTCTGGTTTTACAACTTTTTTATCATCAAAACGACCATTTTTCCTTCTTAAAAAATTGTTGGCGTTGTGGAAAGATAAAGCAAGATTTATCGTAGATAATCTAATTTGTCCTTTTGGTCGATTTTCGTGTAACAGGAACAGTGGTGGTGTTAAAATTCGTCAAAAATAACAGAAAAGGACCCCGCACACTTCTTATGGGATTTCTGACCGCGGTCAAATTTAACCAAATTTTAGTATGTTATAGATCTCGCCTTTCTGATGAATAACTCCCATAGGCACAACTCAATCCTATGACTATTTTTTGAGATACAGTTAGTTTAATGTTCAAGAAATGCACACATTTTATATGCATATATATATACACTGTCACCAAATAATACCAGGATGCACAGGTATCCTCACGCTCAGGTGACAGGTAGATATAAATGCATATAAAATGTGTGCATTTCTTGTATATTTAACTACCTATATCTCAAAAACTAGTCATAGGATTAAGTTGTGCCCATGGTAGTTATTGATCAGAAAGGTGAGATCTATAACATACTAAAATTTGGTTGAATTTGACCGCGGTCAGAAATCCCATAAGAAGTGTGCGGGGTCCTTTGTTACTTTTTCCAAAGTAAGGAAAACGATTCAGGTGTTTTGTAGAAAAGAAAAGAGGCGGCGAAACACAAATACCTTTACCGACTTAAAAAATTAGGTATTTATATTATTAGGCCAAGAAGTAGATTTTCGTCACCGAATGACATACAGCCTTTTATCTTCAGGCCAAGAGATTGCAATAGTTCCTTTTACAACTTACTCATTGCTTTTTTCATCCATTTTCGGAAAAATGAGATAAACCACTTTTTAAGAATGGAAAGTTTTATAAGTTTTTTCCACGTCTTGTTATTTTCTTTGGATCACTCTATATCTTCTAGACAGGACGTCCTTTACAGATTTATCGATTTTTCTTGCTCTGTCACGTAAAGTTACGTTATCATGTGCCTCAAAATAGAAGGCTTTCAGTAGGCTATCGGGTTCCAGGATAATTAAATTTGATCTGCTTATATACCTACCTCTAGTGTACGTCTATTAATTAGATTGTAATAGCCCAACGCGCGTGGAAATAGTGCGAGGTCAAAAATAATCTGCTTCCCGGATCATAGTTCCGGATAACGAAATTAGATCATTGCTTTCCAGGCACATTGTGGCAGGCAATACAGACCACCTATTAACATAATATATCAGGAAACATTCATGAATTTTTACAGGAGACATCAGAAATTGAATTTTGTAATCCATATAGAAATATTTTGGAGCTTTTATGATGAACTGAACAGTTCGATTCGAGTCCGGAAATAAATTTTACAAAAAAAGAAACTAAAAATTTAATTTCGCTCCTAGCCCAAGATCCAAGATACACAACGTGCATTTGCATTTTTATCTCGAAGATTTATTTTAGATAACACTTTGGTTTTTTTTTTGTCAGTGCAAGGTCAGGAAATATCATAGATTACACAAAAGTCGATTCGTTTCAAGGGAATTCATTTCAAACCTACAAAGCACTAAACCATACCATACAGGTACAGGATGATGTTCAAAAAATTAGAGACAAGGTGAAATTTGGTACAAGAGACTGTGTTTTACATTTTTCTTAATGACTCCAAAACTAAGCATTTAAGAAAAAAATCTCAAGAGAGAAAAATTGTAGAGAAGAAAATTTCCTACCAAATAAACATGCATCCGTTTTTTTTCAGATGTTCAGTGGCGTAGATAGAAAGTATCTCTCGATTTTTTAGGCTCCAACCCCAATCTTTCTATGGTTTTTCGTAGTAATCCGTTGTTAAACAAACTAGGAGACCTTGAAGCTGATTCATAACTTAAACATTGTTTTATCTCCCAGGAGACGATGCAGGGCAAAGTATTCTACCAAAAAGCAGTGCAGGATTTACAGTAATTTGTTCACCCTTAATTTTTATCGAGGATATTCCTGATAAAAGCGATTTCACTTTATCATTATGCTTAAGCCGTAAAACATTGTACTTGGTACCAATAATTCTACTTAGTACTTTTTCGCCTATTTCGGCCGCTTTGTCGCAGGTGGCGTCACTGTTGGCCACAATACCTGAACTAATTGACATTAACTCTTTTACAGTGTGATTTTTGAAGTGTGCAACATATGGGAGTTTTTTTTAGTAATAGCACAACCCAAATACAAACAAGGCCAAAAGTTGGTGCATGTCTAATAATCATATTAGGTGCACTTAGAATGGTTGCAAGTCAAACAGCATACAGGGTAGCTCAAACAATATCAACGCTGTACTGTAAAAGTACCCTTATTTTAGGAAATTCAGCAAAATGTTATAGAGAAAAGTTGTTTGGAATTAAAAGTTATGCCTAAGTACCAAAGCATAGCCTCCTAAGATTTTTTTTATTTTTTTTCGAAAAAAATCTATAATTTCTGTATTTTTTTTATTTTTCATTTCCGCCCTTAATACTTTCAAAAATTAATTAAAATCAAATCAATTTTACATAACTTTGTTCAAATTCAAGCATATTTGTAAAATTAACTTAGATTTTTAATTTTTTATGGAATCACAAAATTCATGTTTGTTGCAATGATATTCAACACAACTTTAAAATGTCGCAATTTTTTTTTAACAAGTTAAAACATTACTAATGATAATAGCCATATTAAAAAAACTCTCCTTAAAGTGCATAAGTTTTATTTTATTCAAGTAAATATTACTACAATTTTGATATTTTTTGAGCTACCCTGTATGCTGTTTGACTTGCAACCATTCTAAGTGCACCTAATATGATTATTAGACATGCACCAACTTTTGGCCTTGTTTGTATTTTGGTTGTGCTACTACTAAAAAAAAATCCAATATGTTGCACACTCAAGTAATGACACTGTATATCAATTATATCAGGATTAAACGAATTTCGTATTAAGAATTCACTTACTTGAAGGCATTGGGGCATTCCACTTATCCAGCGAGATAATGTGCTGTCTGTAATTCCTCTTCCGTGAGTCAAACCTCCAGAAGTTTCCATACGTCTCATGAGCTCTTGCTCAATTATCATATCCAACGGCGTCCCAGACCAATACAATACTTATCATTTCTACGAGCTACACGACAATCTTCTTGTGTCAATCTTCTGTAATCTTCCAGGTGCATACTATTTCAACAAGCTAACATATTTTGAACATAAAGATGACAACTTTTTGCATATAGCAAATGTCCTGCTGCATGGAAGTATGGTAGCATGGAACTAGCACAATATAAATGTAGATTCCAGTCGGCAGTTCTTTGATTGTCATTTTCAAAATCTCTACCTGATTCCAATATTGACACCATAGTTTTGCAGTCCGATTGGAAGCTTCTGTTGGTTTAGATATACACAACAAAAAAAGTTTTGCACCATCTCATTTTATATATTCAGCGATGTCTAAATTAAAAAATTATCATTAAAAAAATCGTAAACAGTTTCAGATTTCTAAACCTTTTTTAGTGAATGTACTTACTGGTCGATGAGTATTCTGTAGTTACATTGCAGTGCGATGCAAAACTTTTTTTGTTGTGTGTATTTCTTCAAAATTACTCAGTAGCTTGCTCAAAATTGGACGGTTGATGACATTTTCTATTTCAGTATCCGGGTTATACAGTTCTTCCAAATCATTTTCGCAATATTCAGGACTGTTCCCATTTTTTAATAGCAGCTGTATTAATGCAGATTGGGTAAGCAGATGAGCACGCAATGCCCTCGAATAAGCATGACCATTGATGAAATGCAGAATACTATTATCAGCGTAAATTGTAGCCCACCATTCTTCGAGCCCAGATCCTGACATTGTAAACCCTATTGCTTCCATAAATGACATTATAAAATGGAATGTTCCTAATCCCACTACTACTTGGGATAATTCATTGGTACAGTTCGATGCTAACACAATTTCAGTAGCTTTAACAAACAACGGTTGATCAAAGGTTGCAATGCAGGTCTTCCTATTAAATTGTTTACATAACTTGAGTGCAAACATCAGTGACGAGTAAATGGCAGTAGGGTTACTTGGATCTAAATTCACAAATGGTAACGGTAGTACTCTACTAACCTCTTGTGAACCCTTACTTTGGATTTTTGCAGACATATATCCTTGCCAGGAAGAATTTGGTTGATAGTCATTCATTTGACCACATACCCATAGATAATTTAACAAACTGGACACACGGAGACAGGTTTTAACACACAAAGTTTTTCAACCTCAATTTTGCTTAACCCAAGGATTGTGGTAAACTACGATTGGCGCTGTTCCAAATTGTCCCACATGTAACTTATTTCTAGGCGTTTTGCGTAAAGGATCTATCGTCATAGCTTTTTCAGATGTAACAACCATAATTCCGCCCATCGCATGGAAAGTCCCAAATCCATCCAGCGTTCGAATATTGAAATCGACATTATAAAAAGCAAATTGTATAAATGATGGACAGCTAATATTTACGGAAACCTCTGCTGCCGTGTTTTCATATAACATTACAGATTTATAATGACTAACAAAACCCAAAGCATGTAAAATGGACAGTAAATCTTTAGATCCAAATTTTCGGTGAAGATGGATACCCAAAACCGGAGACATATAGGACTTTGGACGTATAATAGCTATTATAGCATTGGATAAACTTACCATTTTTCGTTCAGTTGTCGAATTGTCTTTATCGGTTGATGTCTGATTGAAGAGAGTAGGTACGTAAAAATATTTTCAAATTGTCGGGTATACCATCTTGGTCTCCGTTTTGAAATGCCGAATTTGATGGATATGTATTCATTTCATAAACTTCTCTTCTTATATCCTCTCGTAATATTTTTGCTGCAGCAGTTATAATTCTTACTCGTTCTAATTCCTCATCTTTGTTTCTAGAATGTACCACTGATCACTCAATATTTTCTCAGCATATCTATTAAATGTCAGTTTTTCCCTACTTGTGTAGTATTAATTCTATCTTGATAGTAGGCAATTAACGTGTCTTTTAAATAGGTTTTACTCCACATGTGATCTTTGCTTTTGTTAGCGTTTATATAACTACAAAGCGCGAAAAATGCTTTATCACATAGCTTGTCAGATGGTCTTCCAGGTAGGGTATCTTTCAATGGTTTAGAAAAATTATCATGGCATAATTTATGGTAACGTCCTTCAGCAGCGACCAAGTCAATAGATTAGATGAATTTATTCCAGTATACACTTGACGTGCCAATTCGTTGTTCTGGACACCACATTGTCTTTCAATATTGTTTTTAATTTGTAATGTTGTCACTACTCTGAATTTCCTGTGACTTTTTTTGTTGGCAGATTTATTACTCTTCACCACAAAATAGACACTGTGTTTTAGAATCAAACTTCTCACTTACGTTATATGACCTTAGAGAAGCACCTGAAAACATACTACTACGCTGTGAAGAGTCAATATTTTCTAAACTCTCCTTCTTTCTGATCAAATAAATTTAAATGAAAACTTTCAAAGAGAGACAAAGTGATCGGCAGGCCTATTCTCTATGAACAGCAATTACATAGCAACCAGCAACCGGTCGCATGTTGCTTTTTTTGAATATAAAACTCGCATTTGACAGCGACTTGACAGCGACAATTGCGCAATTCTCAGCGGTCGCAAGTTACAGAATAAAGCTGCGGGTTTATCGGATCAGCGTTTCCGAAAGGGCCTTATTCTCATGAAGCGGAAAATCGCGTTGTGGACGCGGACTTTTTAAAATTTGTACCACAGCGGGAAAATGTCAACTTTTTTGCGATATCGCAAAAAAGTTAGGGCCGGTTTCTCAATAGCAAGTCACCCCCGGGTTAAGCAAGACTCCAGGGTAAACATTGCAACTGCAACCCGGAGGTGACTCGCTATTGATAACCGACCTCAAAACTATTTGTAACTTTTGCGCGAGTTTTTATCCTCTTCACTTTTTACTGCCACTTTTGAGGGGTTTGGTATGACATTAATAAAAATCAATAAAATATAATCTGAAATATCCTAAATATAACTGAAAATCCACTTCCGGCATCTCGCATCATGTGAACTGGCAAAAATTACTTCTTAAACGGAATGATTCATCCTTTATAGGTACCTACATGCCCATTTCAAGGTTTAAAATAAATAAGTGGGGTTTTTAGAAAAATCCCTTCAATTGAATACCTAATATCTACGCCACTGAACATCTAAAAAAACATATGTCTATTTGGTAGGAAATTTTCTGCTTTACAATTTCTGTCTTGACATTTTTTCCTAAAATGCTTAGTTTTGGAGTTATTAAGAAAAAATAAAAAAAAAGGTAGATTTCTCCCCACTTAAGGAGGGGTTTTGGGGTGACGGGCTCAACGCCTCGGCGCTGGGGTTTAGAGGGTCTTTAGTACCCTAAAACAAAGTCTCTTACCAAATTTTAGCTTGTCTCTAATTTGTTGAACGTCACCCAGTAAAAATACGAATCACCCCTATTGAAATTTTTTTTTGTGCCCAATAATAATTAATAATAGTAGGTAAATATTTTTGTTGAACTAGAGTTAATTGGGCGCTTATTTAATTGGGCAAGTTATTCGTTGGTGATAATTATTTCCTCTTCCAGAAATAGTGATTATCAGTAAATTTTTGGACGTCACGCCCAGAGATACGGACCTTTGAGGCCTTCCTTACAATCCCCTAGGGAGACACACAAAGGTCTCATCTCTGTTCATGGTTATAATTTCCGTCGTCTTTTCTCCCACCTGTTTGAGAAGAAGACCATAATCGTCTTGAGATTTCTTTCTTTGATAGATGTGAGTTTTAGGAGAAATTTTTGGTGTTCAAAAATTTGATTTTTTGGGGATAACAAGATTGACTAATAAATCTCTTCTCAAGCAGCCATACAAATATATTACTATATATATAAAATTATTATACAAAATATAATACAAAATTAAATATTAACATTAACAATATATATCTCACATTATAGTTATATCAAAAGCTGGTTTATTTGGCTAGATTACATAATATTTAGTTCATTTATTCAATTTTATAATTTTCATATTCATAGCCTTAAAACATCAAACGAGTTGTGGATAAAATTCAAGTCGAATAAAAAAAGCATTAGTAAATATTATTTATTGATAACCATAGAGTAATGATGACATTACTGACTTTTTAAAATTTTGAAAGTGTCACTTTACTGCCTTTTTATTTCCCAATCAATTTTTCTGGTCATACTTTTTAACAATTTTTTCTCACAAAGGTGAAAAAGTACATTTGTATAAGTATTAATAAGCAAGCAACAAATTTTAAATAAGAACACGTCATATTCACCATATTTATTAATTTTACTCAAACCTTATACCGGGGCCCACGAGATTACTTTCCGGCTGCCATTTTTTTATTTCTTTATCGATATTAACGAAACTGGGTAGGCTTGATATTCTAACAAAACGCCATTTTTGTGCATCCATGACAAGTTTCCTGACTTCCGGTTTCACCGGAAATTACCGAAACAAATTAAACTGCTCGCCTAAAACCACAAGACCTTACCGCGACCCTAGAAATACCAATATTGCACAGTACGTGCAAGATCTGGAAAGGTCTCTACGAGAGGTTACAGTTAAAACACCCAATGATGACCAAGAATTGGAGCGGTATGCCAATACCATCCAAGGTGCCAGCATAAAATCCTATAAGAGATCGAGCCAATTGAGGATGATCCAAAACTCTGGTAACACCTCTGTTTGGTGGTGTCAAGAACTGGAACACCACAGGGCGACGACAAGAAAAGCTTTCAAGAAAGCTAAAAACACCAAACTACCTGAGGACTGGAACCTTTATAGGTATCAACTCAACCAGTATAAAAAAGTCGTACGACAAAAACAAAGGGATGCCTGGAGGACATACTGCAACGAGATAGAAAACTATTCGGAAGCGGCGAGACTTCAGAAAGCTCTTAATAAAGACCCATTTCGGGAAATTGGTATCCTGTGCAAGGACAAGGAGGATGGCACCTTCACTGGCTTCACTGCCAATCTTCAAGAAAGCACAGAGTTACTACTAGGAACTCACTTTCCTGACTCCACAATAACCGTTGTGGAGGATCAGACGCAGGAAACATACATACCCTCTGTGGCTGATTGGCAACTAGCGAATCAGATAATATGCGAGGAAAAAATAGGTTGCGCGATCTCAGGCTTCTCTGCCTTCAAAGTACCAGGACCTGACGGCATCTAATCCAGCCTTACTTCAGTGGGTTCTGGCGTCACTCTTGCCTCACCTGGTAGGAATGTTCAGGGTGTCCTTGGCGCTGAGATACATGCTCAAGGCTTGGAGAGAAGTTGAAGTGGTATTCCTACCCAAACCAGGGAGGATGAGCTAAACTACAAGCATATCGCCCCATAAGCCTCTCATCATTTTCTCTTAAAACAATGGAGAGGCTATGCGAAAGGTACATAAGGAATGGAGTGTTGACAACCAATCCACTCCACCCTAGTTAACATGCATACACCCCCGGAAGATCAACGGACACAGCCCCCCACCTGGTTGCTGGGCGAGTGCAAAAATCGCTGGACAACAGATAGTCCACCCTCGGGATTTTTATTGATGTTGAGGGGGCCTTTGGAAACTGTTACCGGATGGATATTCCTTTCCAAAAGAATTGTACAAAATAAGTGTGCAGGACGTCAACATTAAAGGAATGGTCACAAATGTGGATCTACATAACCATCATCAGGCCTATACTTACCTATGGGGCTAATATTGTCTGGGGACATAAAGCCGAACAGACTACTATAAGCCGAAAAATAGACCACGTTCAAAGAATGACGTGCCTCAACATAACTGGTACAATGAAAACCACACCAAATAGGGCTTTGGAAGTAATTCTATGTTTGACGCCCCTGAATACTTATGTCAAAGAGGTCGTTTTAACCACAATGATGCGCTTCCGCACTATTGGAATAGAACCAAGTGCAGAAGTCGGTTTGCAGAGAGCCCGCATATGGCGTGAGACAAAGAACTCGTTTCCATCGTTGGAGGCCAGATTGGACTCTGCAACACCATGTTTCGTCTCCAAAAAGCACTACGCAATCGACATGAAAGGCATTGGAAACAACACAGTGGCAGGAGTACCTAAGTAACATCTACACTGATGGTTCCAAAACTGAAACAGGCTCGGGATGCGGAGTATACTCCAAAGCCCTCAAATTGAACCTAGCTATAGCCTTTGGCTTTATACCAAATGTCCTCCAAACCAAAATTACTGGCATAACCATCGCGGCCGAACAAATAGTCAGCAAGAATATCACTGACAAGATCGTGCACATCCACACGGACTGCAGACAAGCAGTACTAGCCCCATCTAGACCGCGACTCATGTCAGAATTAGTACAACATTGCCACCGTACACTCACAGAGGCGTCGATCAACAATACGGTGGTAGTCAGCTGGATCAAAGGACATAATCACAGCAAAGGCAATCGGGCTGCCGACGCTCTAGCTAGGAGGGCCGCCAGGCTACAGCCTTCTGGACCGGAGCCTTTCGTGGGGCCGACCATGTCAGCAGCCAAAGATATGATAAAAAAAACGCTCCCATCCCCTTTTCAAAAAACACTGGGACGATACGATTGGCTGCAACTTCTCCAAGGAACTGCTAAGCTATCCAGATAAAGCTGCAGCGAGCCAAAAGCTGTCGTTGACCAGGAAAAGGCTACGCCTGATAACGGGCATCTTGACTGGCACTGTCAGTTAAACAAACATTTGTTTAGGTTGCATCTCAGTACCACACTGTTTTTTCGCCAATACGCAGAGCCAGATTAGGCCAATCGCACCCATCACTAGAAGAGATCAGAGCCACCGCCCTCGGCGACGTCATCGCCTACGTTGAATCGCTAGGCTGGATGACGAGCTAAGGATGACCTCTCTTCTGGTGGAGGCGCACAATGGGCCTAATGTGGCCTAAGTGCTGTGGCATACCACCCTCCCAAACTTTCACATACAGATACCGAAACTTTTCATTTTCAAATGGCACACCCTGTATATTTTTTGTTTTTCGGATTTTAAAGAACGTTTTACGTCCTAATATACCACTTTTTATTCGAGTTTTGTCCAAATTGAATTTTAAGTAGAAAAAAAAAATTACCTACATAATAAAACAAAAATGTTTGGACGAAAATTGAGAAAAATGTCGTAGTGTATAACATCGTTGGATTCGCTTTAAAATACTGCATTTAGTAATGTTATGAAGTGATATGTTTCTATTCCAGTTTTTGAGCTAGGGGAAAAATATTTAAATATTGAAGTTTACAGCCCTCTATCAAAAAAGTTTAAAAACATAAAATTGAGTTTGTATTTTTCTGAAATTAAGTAAAGTATGTAGAGTCATTTTAGGATGATCATGGTACTCCAGTTGATTGTAAAAAAATTATAAAAAAAAGTATACAAAACTCGATTTAAAAGTGGTGCATTAGGATCTAAAACAATCTGTAGAATCCGAAAAACCAAAAATATAAAGGGTGTGCCATTTGAAAATCAAAAGTTCCGGTCATTTCCGGTGAAACCGGAAGTCAGGAAAACTTGTCATACATGCATAAAAATGGCGTTTTGTTGGAGTATCAACCCTACCAAGTTTCGTTGATATCGATAAATAAATTAAAAAATGGCAGCCGGAAAGTAATCTCGTGGGAACCCGGTGTTTATATTGTGGCAGGTGGCAGGTCTTCACATTTTTTTTTTTTTGTCAAAATTGTAAAAATGACATATACTTACATAATTTTTAAAAACGGAATGTTTTGTTTCTTCAAGAAATTATGTTTAAAGATAAAATAATATGGTCCTCGACATGAAAATTAGTTGCTGACTCGAGACAATATTATATTCTCATGACTGTATTGAATAATTCCCAGTCTCTAAATATACTATAAAAACTGTTTTATTCAAAGATTGTTATGTTACTCTATTTTCATTTCGTCAAAACATCCCATTTTAAATTTAATCGAACCTAATCTAAAAATCAGTCTGATAAATTTTTTAGCAGGTAAAACCAACTAAATTGTTTTATTTTACAATATTCAAGTCCAGAAATTTTGAAGTGTTGCTAACTAAAAAAACGTACATAATATCATTCCTGGTGTTATTTGCTTTAACTTCCTAATCCTACGCTGCCTAAATTAATCCACAAACGGATCATGCACTTTGCTTTTATTTCGTAAATGATTAACTTTTTTTCCAATGCTATTTATTTAGTGATACATTCATTATAAGGTGTGATAGCTAACAAAATTCAAAAATATGTGCCTACTTGCGGTATCCAACACTATTTTGGATGAATTTATTTTGGCACCCAGCTGTAAACTAGTGTGATTCACTTTATTTGTCATAAGAATGAATATACAAAAGTTGTTTCAAAATTTTCAGATCTTGATCGTTATGAGTTGTAGGACTCAAAATATCACATGGATTAACCCCACTTCACAAAATTCTATAAAAATCTAGTATACCAATTATAATATGAGCTAAATTCCACCATTTTACAGAAAATATAGAAAGTATAACTAAATGCCTAAAAAATATGTATTAATATTAACCTCTGACCACCCTAATAATTAAATAATAGTATAGTAGGTAAATAAGACCCCTGCGAATTTTGACGTGTGGTTTCTAAACAAATGGACACGTACTATGGACAAAACAACTCAACTGCACAACTTTCAAGATTTTGCTAATACAATAACTATGTATTGTTATTGAAATGGTAATCACCTGCAAGCCTGAGAGTTCTAGGATGGTTTCCTCTCTCTTTGCGACTCCGAAAATACTAGAGAGCTATAATATTCAATCAACTTATTTTTTCATGAATGGCACTATGTCAGAGATAAATCCTGCAACAGCTGTTCTGAGAAATTTGTGCCATATTTAACAAGGGGGAAGTAAGTAGATCAGCTAGAGTTTTATTTTTTGAATTTGAATATTTCAAAACAATCACTATTTCTCAATATTGTAACTTCTATGGAATAATATGAGCGACATATTGTTATAAATGTGAAACTGCCGTTCATCAGTCTTGATCACTTGCTCCTAGAATGCGGCTCAAGGAATGTTCCAAAATAAGAATTTCAAAAAAGTGTAATCGGTGCAATTATACTGACTGAGCACAACAATAAATCATGTCAACATTCAACAAAATGATCAATGATTATTTCGATGTCACTGCTAAATTCCTGCAGCGCCTCTGATGGGCTTTGTACTCTGCTTTTTTCTCGGTTTCCGTGCCTCAGCTCTTAGGCGCCCACAACAGTTGCATCACTTTTTTTCACCTCAGGAACATTCTGAATATTCTGCTCAAATTAAGAGACATGGTAGACGAAAATCGGGGACGAGTCAGAAACGTTCCTCTAGTCTACAGCAAGGTGCCCAGCTCCAGTTTAACCTAGCTCCAATTTAACCTTGTCCACCTCAGGGGCCACAACTGCATGGTGCGTAAGGAGGTAGACGAGGGGACAAAATCAATAAATAGCATCCTTTCGACAACAACCTTCATCAGAATTATCTTCATTATCAATTTCGATTTCCACAGAGGACATTATGTTTGAACCAATTTAGCGGTTTTTATTGACTTACTTGACTGATAGTTCATACTTTTTGTTATTAACGACGCACTATAAAGCACTCTACACACTAATAAAGTTTCTGGGATTATAATTTTTTTATTTCTAAAAACTGATTTAGAAAAAAATTCTATACCGGAAGTCCCTATGCTGGACTCAAAGGCTTAGAAGAATATAAGGACGCGTTCGAGTACTACAATCCTCCTTCCCTTGCAAAAGGCCAGTTTCATGACATGTAATGTAATATAATATTTTTCTCTTGTCATGCCTTTTAGGTATCCAATGAGAAACCCCAAAATTCGCGAAAGTCTTATGTACAGCAACTATGTGCGATTGATCTTCGATTAATAAACTTAAATTGAAAACTTTTCAAATATTAAATTCTGAAGATTATGAAAGTTTTAATCATGCCAAATGTTAGCAGTAAAGTTGTTAGCGAACCTTAAAAAAAACATTTATTGAGTTAAAAACATATTTAAAAAAGTAAAGGAGAAATACATAATTTGTAAAATATTATTAATTCAGTAGTTAAATTTCAGTTTCGCCCTTTTAAGAAGAAAACCTCAGAAATACATTAACGATCCGTTTATATCTGCAGGATAACGCTCTTGAGCAGCCAAAAAGTATCTAAACCAAGAAAATTAAATATTTTCTGCTTAGCTAAAATTTTAGGACAACTTTCACGATTAAAACTATAAGGCAAGTTCTTTGGTTTGTTAGTTTACAACACAAAAACCTACCAGAACATCAGGCAAGGGTCATATTACATAAAACAAACACCATATATATAAGTTAAGATACTTTTTGGCAAAGTAGTGGGATTAACTTAATACCTATTATTCGTTTATCAGTCAGCATATTTTAAAAAAAATACACTTATTGCCATTTTGACTTTTTATCTCCGTGAAAGGCTAGCAAAAGACATGGCACCATTTAAGTGTAATCTGGCCCTCTGCTGATTTTCCTGAAATTTAAATATGTTGTAGCCGACACCAAAATAAGACTTTTTCATCATTGCGCCAAAGTACTAGGTCTATCGGGCCTAATTGAAAAGTATAGCTAAAGTAATAAAAACAAACATAAAGAAATGCTGATTTTAATGAATTATTATTCTAATATTTCTAATGAGCACCATATCTACGTAAAATATGTGTATATGTATTTAATGTTTATCTAATCTTATACCTACATACTACATATACTTTTTGACAGTGGCGTAGAAAATGGTGGGGAGCAGGGCGCACCGCCCTCACCCCGAAATTCCTCGAAATTCTGAACCAGCGCCTCAGAAAAGCATTTTTATTTATTTTAATAGCAGATATGAGAAAGTATGTCAATGTTATAATAAAATTGTGTAGGTATGTCAATATGTAAAATATCTGAATTTTCATTTTTGTATTGTCTTACTGATACCGAAAAATAAAATAAAAAGTTAATGGAACATATGAAGTCATATGAATAAAGTGTTTGCATCTGTTTTATTCATATGAGGCATGAAAAAAACCTACTACACTAATAAACAGAGAAAGAAACATGAAAAAATAGTTATTGAAACAACAAGTTTCGAAATAGTTATTATCCTAACAAGTGCAGATAGTTATACTTTCCCGCACGCAACTGGCGTTGACGCGGAGCGGAGTTGGGGCAAGCAGTCAAGGGCGGGAAAGATATGGTTTATGCATGAGTTAGGATCAAAATTTTTTCTACAACCCTAGCAAAATAGAGCACAATAAAAAAACGCATATTTTGCGTTTTTTTATAAAATATATTGTACACATTTAAATAATCTACATTTATTTATTATCATAGATATTGATTGTCAAAGTGCAATTGGATGCATTTTGTGAATTATAATCGCTGACGACAATTACTGATTCCTTGACAAACTGGTAATCTTACTACTGCTGGGATGAGGGTTCGACGCTATTGCCAAGTCGTCGGTTACAGGGGACGAGGGTTCTGATCTCAGCTCTGGTACCTTCTGCGAATGACTGCTTGACGATACAGATTTTGCGTCAATTGTCAAAAAAAAAAATATTTTAAAAGTTACTTTCCCACACTTAGTACACACTTTCTGAACTAAAATGAATGCGGGAAAGTGGGCAAAATCGCACTGTTGTAGAAAAACGACTTTTTTAGCACGGTCGAGACAGTTTATTGGATCGAGCCGTAGGCGAGTTTCAAAAGTCGAGCGAGTGTGAAGTAAGGTTTTCACGAGTCTTTTACAACGCTTTTTCTACTGCCAAATAAAACAATCAAATATGTAATTTTTATTTGTTAGAAAACAAATCATCAACATCAAAAATTGGTGACAATCGCAATTTGTGTTCTCATGTCAGGATGACCAAAATACCTCGTAAAAGTGTGTTGATACCAAACAATAGAAGAAAAAGGTAATAAAACATACGGAAAAAACCAACTACACTAATAAACACATATTTTATGTAGATGCCATACTATATTCTTATGGAAAACACCTCGTAGCTTATGAAAATATAAAGTAAATAATACGTAAAAATATTATTAAAGTTGAGTTGAGTATTGTCTAGATATAACTTTGACTTATTTAGAATAATAATTCATTAAAATCAGCATTTCTTTAAGTCCGTTTTTATTATTTTGGCCTTACTTTTCGAGCAGGCCTCGTAGACCTTTGGCGCAATGATAAAAAAGTCTTATTTTCATTGTCAGCTACAACATATTCAAATTACAGGAAAATCTGTAGAGGGCGAATTACACTCAAATGGTACCATGTCCTTTAACTAATTTGCCTTTGCGGGTAGCAGTAGTCGCAAATTTTTTTTAATTTAATGTTTGTCATAATATGATCCCGGGAAACTGTTCCTCGAGTTACCTGGTACTAACTGTGTCTGGAAAAAGACTTTCATATGAAGGTGGCAAGTCCTTATTGTCTGCAAGATGAGGAGCAGTTGGCTGGACGTTGCTTGTAGTTTCTGCAAGGCGCGCGCCAGTTTGTTCGTTCATTTCTATTACACGAGACTAAAAAAAAATTAAAAATTAAGGATGATGAAACTTGAAGTTCAAGTTAAAAATAAACTGGATTGCTCCAATGATGTTCTGGTAGAAGGTGCATTAAACCATCGATTCTGCAAACACAATGACTGATGGCTAAAATAATACAAGTAGCACTTAAGAACTTGAAATCTACTTGAATTTATCTTTAATTGATAGAACCAAAAATCGAAGTATTTGGTGGAAACAAAAAAGAAGCTATACCAATACTAAGCGAGATGTCTTCAAAGATTATTTTAGTTCCTGCTTCTAGCATTTGTCAAGTATATTGGTGGCCTTTTATTGAAATTTTCTCTGCCTTCAAACATAAAAGCTTGCTTTTTAATATTGGAAGGACATTCAAAAAAAGTTCAGTTGCAGATACTTATTTGTAATTTAAAACATTGTAAATTGAACAAATAACCTAACAATCCATAATAACCAAATGGTCAATGGTTGGTCATGTTTTACCTTGACCTTTTTAAAACTGTTCGATAATAACAAAGTTTTATCAATACCAAAAAATTCAAATCAAACAAATCATTAAATAAAGTACTTACATTTCTGTTATTCTCTGGTGTGGAAGACGGGTGTGCAAACGCTTCAGCCCAGCAAAATAATCTGAATTTTCTCAACACCCATATAATCAAGATAAATACAATAAACAGGATGCCTAAGGTGGATATTGATCCAATAATAACCCGATTACCCACAGAAGCTTTTCCTTCAGGTTTTATCTAAAATGAATGCACAATTTATTTAATGTTAAATTAGCTTTAGCTGTTACTTACAGGCAGCAATAAACAGCCTCCTTCATCAACACACCCAAAATAGGGACAATTTATGTATCCATCCCCAAAGTACATTGCATTCAAGCACACTCTTACTGAGTCGTTATTCCACAAATTCTCTATACAATTTTTCAATGACACATGCTTTATGTGATAATCTTTAGCACAATCTGCAATATAAAAAGGTATACATATTACTCTTACAGGAAGTTTTTTTTTACCTAATCAAATTTTTTTTTAAAGTTGGCGAGTGAGGAGCCAATCCCCTATTTATTTTATTGTCGGGTGATTACAAAAATGTACAATAACTCTGAAATCAACTTTTTTGGAAACGATTAACCAAACAAACGAAAATCTCTGATTTAACAAAGAATCGATAAATTCGAAAAAACCTTGTTCTACAATTTCCTATATAAATACACTCAGAAGATTTAGATATTGTTTATAAAGACATTTGATATAACAGCATACATATCTGTTATTGGGACAAATTTTATTTTTATTGATTTTTTGGGAAGCGAATTCATTCTTATTATATGGATTTTGGAAAGCCAAAGTCGAAGTCAAAATATGCTTTATTGTTGCGAAAAAATAATGGTAATTTAAGATAAAGAAGATTACCAGAAATCTTGTGCTGCAAAAGCACAGACAAAATAAAAACAGTACATCGGTAGATTAAAAAGTGCAAGGTAGTGGGAGACAATAAAATTATAAGTTCACAAAGCGGCGGACACTCGGACAGACATAATAAAATAAGATATGCTTGCGAGGATATTATATTCCATTAGATATCTTGGCTTTACCACTTTGCACTGTATCGCTGACCCAACATTGAGACAGTGATAATAAATACCCAACATTCAAATTTGAATATTGAGCATATCATTTTCAAACATTTATTAAGGTGTCTTGTATATCATATATAATTCATGACATCATTATTTATACATATTTGTAATTGTAAAGTCTATAACAATGCAGTTTAGTAAGTAATATTTCAATCTCGATTTTAAATTAAAAAAAAAAAAAACAAGAAAAATGTATAGAATATCATACTCGACATCATATAATTGTGTTAATATGCGCTTGTCAGCACATTAAATAAAAACTACTGTCACATCCTACAATGAGATTAAATGAAAAATTTGGAAAATCAAATTGAGAAATTCAAAATGCCACCTGGACAAAATTTGCAAATTTATTCACCAAGAAATTGTTGCTGTTATACAGTTATGCCCACTTCTAGAGGGGTGGGTTTTACTATTAATTTAACGGTTATTTTATCATCATGTGTGATTTTTATTAAAATTTTTATTTGTCTACAAGGTATAATTGTCGTCTAATATTATTTCTATTTGTTTTTTTTTGTGCTGATTGATGATGATGATGACTTATAGTCTTACAATGTTTTTTTCTGAGAGAACATAGCTCGCAATGAAGTTAATACATTTTGCGACTTTAAAATGGCAGTATCATGGATTATTTTTTATTTATTTCATTGTTAACGCATTCTGCAAGCCATTCTGTTAGGATAAAAAACAGAAATATTTTATATATTTTAATAAGGAGTTTTAGCACAAACGACCCAAAACTTAGTTTTTAAATCTCAACTTCAAACCAAGGCACTTGGTACGTCGCACTCCTAGAATAACAAATGCCGACCCTGATAATGACCAATCAGATTATGTGTTCAGTGAGGAATCAATCCATTTTGTTCAAGCAAATACCCAAAAAAAGGCCAAGAACTAGCTCAGGCCCAGGAATGTTAGAAGGAACAAGGTCAAAAAGCAAAATTCTATTAACAATGAGGCCAAACCAGATGAAGTAAACAATTAATAAATTCTGCTTTATTTGCCATCCACAAGCAAGTCACAACTTTAGCATTCAGAATTGGTCAAACAGAGAAAGATAATATGGAACTTAATAATAAAATCAGGAACATACGTACAGCAAAGGGAAAGCAACGGACTAGAGATAGAAACTCGTCCGACCCATTTAAACCGAGACAGCGAAAAAAATACCACACATTATAAAACGTTTGAAGAAGTTAGTGCACTTATAAAACCAAACAGTGGACCAGAAAATCAACAAAGAAAATCAGAAACTATGTGGAGTACACCAAAAATGCAGAGAAAAATCGAAACCATGATTTCAATAGACAAAATCACGGACGGAGCCGAAACAATGCAACAAGTAAAACAAAATATAAATTCAAACACCAAGAGAAGTGGATTTAAAAACATAAGATACTTAAAGAACAGGACATTAGTAGTTGAAAGTCACAGTAAGGAACAACAGAAAAAAACAACATTAAGGTGAAAGAAGTTCAAAACATAGACTCAATGTTCATGCTTAAAGGAGTAAGAAAGGAATTAACAGACAACGAGCTTTTGGATGATATATGTAGTTAATCTAAATAATGAAATTGAAACTGAACTCGGACAATCAATAGCTGGAAAACTAAAAATGGTAGCCAAACGCACCTGCAGAAACCCATTTAAAGAGGATTGTATTCTTCAAGCACCACCCGACATAGCCAAATTAATGGTTCCTCAAAAAACAGAAAATAATCGTTGATTTATTGGTAGTACACATACAGGAACACATAAACTTGGCAATATGGTATAATTGCGCAGGGCTTGGACATGTAGCAAAATATTGTAGGGAAAAACAATGTTGTCAAAAATGCGGAGAAGAACATCAAACAAAGGACTCTACCAGTGAAGCATGAAAGTGTCCAAATGGCAGCAAATTAAAGCTAAAACCTGAGGATTGCCAGCATTCAGCAAGAGACTTTCAATGTCCGGTATACCAGCGAAGACTTATGCAATACCAAAGTAATATAAATTATTCGTCAACAAAGCAGACAGATTTTTTATAAAAGGAAAAAACTCAGAAAAAAAAACAACTTAAAAGTATTATACACCAAAACGTGCAACCGCTGGTGAACACAGTTGGAAAAATGTGACAAGATTTCGGATTTAGAGCGATTTTGAGGGATTTCAGAGGATTTCGGTGGGATTTCGGTAGGATTTCGAGGGATTTTTCACTGTGACAAGATTTCAGATTTAGAGCGATTTTGAGGGATTTCGGGTGATTTCGAAGGATTTTGGATGATTTCGAAGCATTATGAGAGAATTTCAGGTGATTTCGCAAATATTTTAATTTGATTTTAGACTGTTACTTATCATATAAGTAAATTCGAAAGTGTATTAGTATAAACTGAAAAACGGCCGCGTTGACCGATTTATGAATTTTGGGCCAATAGACCTATCTATTTTACCAGACAAGGAGGTAGTAATACGAAAACTTCATTAGATAAAAAAAGACACAGAACGCTCATTGCGCAAGACGAGGCAAAACGTACCAAATTATGTTAGACTTTCGTATAGCAATCCGTCCTTCTTATTTGCACGGGATAAAAAGGAGAGGAGAAAAACCGCATGTTGTGTAACGTATTTGTCAATGAAAATTTCAAACAACTTTTGAATGTCACTTGTCAAGTTGAATATCAACCGTAATTTTATTCTTGTCAGACCACGGGCAATGAACGAGGACAAGGAGATGCCCAGCAAGCAAAACGAACACCTCACACATGTACTAGCTAGCCAATAAAAAGGCATTGCCTCGTGTTGCGCGCGCATACCAGGTAAAAATAGTTAGGTCTATTGTGAGGGATTTTTGGGTTTGCATTACTCAAAACTTGGCAAGTATCACATAGTGAGTAGCCGCCTTTAGACCTATGATTGTTTGGACAGAGGTTTACTTATGTAAAAAATGGAGAAATATGGTGTAAGGGGTAATGTAAAGAAATGGTTTTCTCATATACTAACAACAGGAGATGGGACAGGAGACAAGCTGTAACAGTAACAAAAAATAGGAAGACAGGTATCTCAAAAATTGTATATAATGATGTAGGAATTGCACAAGGGAGTATATTGGGCCCAATCCTGTTCATAATTTTTTTGAACGACCTCGGTTTGGTAGGGAATTCTTCTAGCCAACATATTATATAATATACAGATGACACAAATCTGAGTGTCAGCCAGCAGCAAAACATTACAAGAATTGATAATCAAAACTGAAGAATTCTTCAACATGGTAACGAGTTGGTTCTGTGCCAATAAATTAATTCTGAATGAGCAAAAACAAATATTTTATTGTTTAGAACAAAGTAGTCCAAAATACACAGACCGACACAGATTCAATTTGGGGAAAACAGTCTAGATACAAATGAGAACGCAAAGTTTTTAGGTATTTATATAAACGAAAACCTTGATTGGGCTTGTCATATAATACAGTTAGCTAAGAAGCTGAATTCTATTTGTTATGGTATTAGGATAGTTAGTAAATATATGAATGAGGGCTCATTGAAAATATACTCTGCCAACTTTGAATCTGTTCTAAAATATGGTATCATCTTCTGGGGAAGGGACAGCAGGTTGACTACCTTCAGAGCTGTAGATCAGTATTTAAATGTATGGGTGTTATGACAGTATATGCAGTGTACATTTATGAATGCTTAATGTTCTTCTTTCGCAATAAACACCTTTTTGATAGTAAAACGGAACACAAACATAACACGAGAACATTGGATTTCAAGTACAAGCCACATAGACTTACGTTAACAGAAAAATCACCCCATTATGTGTGTCAAATTATACAATACGCTCCCCGAGATTCTCCCTAACTAAATACAAAGTCGTTATTGAGGTAAAAAACTTAAAATAGATATTAAGAAATTGTCAGTAAACTTAGAACCATATTGTTTAAGAGATTTTTGCACAGATCTATAATAATATTTTTGTAACATTGTGATCTTTTTACTGTTTCATTTCATGTACTCTATTGTATTATTTACGAGATAATTTATTGTATTATGATCTTTAATAAAGAAATTTATTATTATTATTATTATTACTTATTATTATTATTATATTCTTATTATATCTGATATCGTAGTAAAGTTGAAAATGTGTATCCTGTCAATACTAGCCCATCACAAAACTTAAATGCTGTGGTATGCTCGGTGGCATGAGACACTAGCAATGGTTTTCAGTCTCAAGAAGGCATCCAAATTTGGCTTGATGTAACTATTGGAGTATTAATATGGTGATCGGAGTAACCTTACTATGGTAATAAAGGCCAAATTATGTCTGTCCTTTCAACCTTATTATAAACAATATCTGCTGAAGTTATTTTGAAACAAGTCCAATTGATAAAGCTAATTAATTTAAATACATATTTACCTTGATAAGAATTGAATATGATAGCAAATTCAGTTCTTTCTTCAGGTTCCAAGGGTTGTTTAGCAATATAAATAACCACATCTAATTCTCCATCAACATCAACAAACGAATTTGAAAAAGATAAAGGGAAATATTGCGGATATACAGCATCTGGTGCATTCACAACATTATAATTCATATTTAATCGGGCATCTAAGAAGCCACAGAATCTCTGGCTAGAAACTCCTTGTTTTGATCGGAATTGTATATAATCTATGCACTCTCCATTTGTAAAATTTCTCCTCAGTTGCATTTTTTGGATAACAGCCAGGGCACCTCCATGAGGATAAACTGATTGGAATTCAAATTTACAGATCTCCGGTACTACCCATGGCAGTGAGTGTGAATTGGTTCTTCCTTCAGTAACTAGGAGTGATTCATATCTAACTTTTAGCTTGGTGTTGATGGGGGAGCAGAGTTTAATGTCTCCTAAGGATACTACAAAACACAAAAAATATATTAGTTTTTTAAGCAGGTTAATCTGACTTATTGGCAATGACATTTTTTTTGTAATGAGTGAAATTTAGATGAACAGAATGGTTTACACATGCCGGAAGCCACTAGCGAGAAATAGGATAGGTATATTTGGACATTCAAAAAACTTATAAATATTTAAGAGGTACCTAAGTATTTGTCGTTATTCACAACATATTTTTGTTGTAATAAACCAGGTATAGAAACTGTGTTCATCAATAAGTAATTTCCTATTGCTCACAAATCAAACAAATCACATAACCAAAAAAAAAACATTTTGAAGAGCAGTTTTAATCATTGAGTTAAGGATTTAATTAGTTAAAAAATTAGTTACTAGAATACAAGCCCATTGAGATTGGTTATTTAGGGCAGGGTAATGGCAGAAAAACCAATCAACCAGTTTCAAGTCATTTGAGTGTTCCTTGAATAACGCACACAGAACACGTCCTCATATTGATAAATTTATTAAAATAACCGAAATGGATTATTTATCACTAGTTTCTGTTTCTACTCACATTCTTTGGGTTGTTCTGTGGATTGTTTAGCAAATACCAAAATAAAGGCACCCAGTAGCATTATTAAATTTGCAGTTGCTTGAAAAATCTCCATTCTTTTCAGCTCATTAAGAATATATTTTCAATACAAAACATTTTCGTCCCAACAACTCGTAGGTAGTACACAAAACTTATTTTACTGTTAATTTTAATAGAATACAAATTAATCACAACAAAAGATTGACAGCTTTTCAAGTTAGGTTATGACGATTCTTGTTCTTCTCTCTTTTTTTTTACTAATGGCCCCTCGTTGCAAGGATGAAACACACCTACGCATTGCTTATCGGCCTCGTTTTTGGTAATCGAATCGCCACCATATTGGTGTGTCACCATTTTCGACGTCATAACTAAGTTGTCAGCTGTTTAAACAGCCTACGTCAAGGCGAGAAATAACATGCTGAAGGGCAAGGATGATACACACACTACTACAGGATGACTTATCCTCATAAGGCCTGTGTGTAACAAATCCCCCCCTACCCCCTCCACCAAACAACCACTTTTGACGTAAGCAGCATGGCGTTTCTCGCCTTAACGTAGGCTGTTTAAGCAGCTGACGACTTAGTTATGACGTCGGCAATGGTTGAAAACAGTTGAAAACCAATATGGCGGCGATTACCAAAAACGAGGCCGATAAGCACTCCTTAAGCAGGACGCGCACTGAATCGACTCAGACCGGTCGACTCGGCGAAGAGCATTCGGTAGTTTTTGATACTCATGCAATTAAATGAGACTCGAGTCGACCACGTCGAGTCGACGAGTCCGATGCCGTGCGCGGAGTCTCATTTAATTGCATGAGTATCAAAAACTACCGAATGCTCTAGGCCGAGTCGACCGGTCCGAGTCGATTCAGTGCGCGTCCTGCTTTAGAGTCTGTATTCTCCTTGGCTGAAGGGGGGGATTTGTTCCACACAGGCCTTATGAGGATAGGCTATCCCTCAGATTAACACATGAAATAGATATGTTTATTATGATTAAAAAATGCCCCAAACAATTGACTCCCATTCTAAGATCACTTGCGGACACTTACTGCAGATGTGCCATATTTATAAATTGTCCGAAGTTGCAGGGAGAGTGGAATTGGAAATTGAAAAAAATATATCGAAAATATAAAAACCCAGATAGGTATATGTATATAAAATTATAACATAAAATATCGCGGTGCTTTCCAAAATTGAATAGGAATAATTATTATATAAAATAATAATCTATTATCACAATAAAATTTGAATAAGAATTTTTGCTAGCTGAAAATGCCAACACTGCTTAAAATCTCGGAGCTTGGTTGTATTCGTCTAGAAACGCCCACCTGAATCATTTTATCTTTGTTAAGATAACCAGATAAAGAAGGATGCAAATATTTCCAGAGCAAGCCCGACCATAATCGCGAATGCGCTCTAGTATTCATAAGCCGCTTTCCAGCTGAGGCTTTTGAGTACGCAATCGAGCTTTTGCGCGCGCAAATGCTTCAAGCGTGTGTTCGTGTTCCAGCCGTCAGCCGTACTGCGCTTCGAGAGCTGCTAACTTTTGCGTTTCAAACACAGAACACTGTGCTGCACCATGCTTGAAGCACACAGCTGGAAAGCGGCTAGTAAGAAATGTCAAACGGGTTTTGTTTGTAATTGGCTTGCATTGTCCGCAATCTTATCCCCACTTCATGTAGTTCATTCATTAATCCACTATTTTCGTTTAGGATTGTTGGCCGCAGAAACCAAACGATTTTATGAATAACTTGCCCTCTCTATTTATGTAGTGTTACTCTGAGGGCTATCCTGTAGTAGTAACACAGATTACCTACATACAGATGCGAAAGAGCGGCGAATTCGTGGTTCAAGATTAATTTGATAGACATAGGCTGGCCGCACCAATGCCACATCAATGTATTTTGAACATATTTATTATATAAATGCGGAAGCTCAATAATATAATATTATTTCTTTAATTGGTTCACAAACAGCAAAAAAATATTCTTTTTTACCCGCAAAAATATGTAAACACACAGGCTGGAACATGCTCACGCACTCGGCCACGTTAATTGTCCTGATGCAGGCGATCTTTATCTATGCGTGGGGTTGCTGGCAGCCCGGCTTCGTCACAGAATATCGTCGACGGCAAGTATACGTACTTTCGCATCTGTATTAGGTGATCTGTGGTAGTAGTGTGCATCATCCTTGCCTCGGTTGCACAGGAACTTGGGCTGTTTCCTCGCGTCCACTTTTTTGACATTGGTTCAAAACAGCTTTGAAACGGGCAATGGTAACACCATTGCCCGTTTCAAACCTGTTTTGAAAAAACTGGACGCCAGAATTGCTTCGACAATCGACGTTTTTGCGCGAAATTTGCTCTTTTTTTGACATTAGCCGCTTTCCAGCAGTGTGCTTCAAGCACGGTGCAGCACAGTGTTCTGTGTTTGAAACGCAAAAGTTAGCAGCTCTCGAAGCGCAGTACGGCTGGAACACGAACACGCGCTTGTAGCATTTGCGTGCGCAAAAGCTCGATTGCGTGCTCAAAAGCGTCAGCTGGAAAGCGGCTATTGGGTACATTCAGGCGGTCCCAGCGGCTAAGCTCAGCCACTCAGCAGGGACTCTATTCGCCACTCAGCAGGGACTTTATTCTCAAAACCAAGGAACAGCGTTTTCATAAGAACGATTGCTCTGTCATTGTCAGTGTTACGCCGGACGACAAAGACAGAACCTTCGTTCCAATGAGAACGCTGCTCCCGTTTCGAGAATAAATTTCCTGCTGAGTGGCTGAACTAAGCCGCTGGCACCGCCTGAATGCACCTAATAGCTTTATTCCTTTCAAGGGTTTCAAGCACTTGAGCTACTCGCTCCGGTGTTTAGTCGCCCCCGATTTGCAGGGAACAGATGCGTGGTGTAGCAAACACTTTTCGAAAGGAATAAGTGCGTGAAGCCCCGGAGCTGTTCCGGAGCTTCTCCTAGGTGTGAAAGGAATACAACTATTGCTTCGACAATTTGACGTTTAATGCGTGTATCAAACGTCAAATTGTCGAAGCAATTTCAAAAAAGAGCGAATTTCGCGCAAGTGAGAATGAAGCGTAACACCGGTCAAGTAAAACGGAACAAAATTAGGGTGCCAAAAAACACTCGGGGCAACAAAAGTTACGGAATTTCAATTTTGTTGTGGGCTGGAACATCTCTGGCTGGAACAGAACCAGTTAGAGCCGTAGTAGTCCAGGGCTGCGTTCAGGAATGGCTACAGCCAAGCCAAAATTGGCATTTTGCGTTCGAGTTCGGCTCCAACCTATGTGGTTCGGCATTACCGGTGGAAGGGGAAAAGTAGGTTTTGGAATTAGCATTGCCGTCCTTGAACGCACCCCAACGGATCGGAACGAGGAGAAGCGAATCGGAAACGCCTATAGACTATTTCGTGTAGACACAGATTGCAGTAGCTGTATACCTTTCACACGTAAGAGGAGCTCTGGAACAGCTCCGGGGCGTACTGTTCCTTTCAAATTGGGGGCGACTAACAAGGATGATAAACACTACTACTACAGGATGGGCCTATCCTCATAAGGCGTGTGTATAACAAATCCCTCCCTTCCCCCCTAGGCCAAACAACCAGTTGTGTCGTAGACAGCATGTTATTTCTCGCATTGATTGACGCAGCTGTTTAAACAGCTGATGACGTCGGCAATGGTTGCACACCAATATGGCCGTAGTGTGTATTCTCCTTCGGCGACTAACAAAACACAGCGAGTACCTAGCTCGAGTGCTTTAAACTCATATAAGTAAAAAATTATATAACGAACGCGTGTACTCCATTTACGCAATGAGAGGCGTTTGATGCAAAAATGAGTGAGATGGAAATATCATTTCTGCATAAGTCTATCTTGTAGTTCAAACCAGGCTGAGCGATAGACTTATGCGAAGTTGATATATCTGTCTCACACATTTTTGCATCAGGGTACAGCAAGAACACGCGTTATATAATTTTTTACTTATATGTTTAAACCAAACTCTTGAAAGGAATACAACCGTGGGCATTGGCATTGACAGCTGACAGAGTTTGTTTTGATTATTTAAAATATAAAATATATTTTTCATTTGCTCAATTTGTTGTAATAATTGTAATTTATGTTCAAGTGAAGCGCAATAAATTATTATTGATAAGGCCTGGGTTATACATCTTGTGATAAACTTGCCGGTAACTGTCTACAAGGCAAATTTACCAGGTAACTGATATAAATGCAAGGATATATAAATGTCCGTTGTTTGATCTAAATTTTATCCGACAGTTCACAAACCAGCGGCAAATCGGCAAATGGAAGAAAAGGTGAACATATGCGCAATTCAATGAGTAAGACAAAGATAGAGAAGTTTTGAATTCTCTTCTCGAAGTTAAACTACTAGTTTATTCGATACTTATCAAATATAGAAAGCTTTCAGGAAATAAAATTACTCGTAATAGGTGTGAATGGATTGTTCCTAGAAATAAACGAAATGCCTGCAATCTGCAATAAATACAAACATCTTCAAAATTTAAATTAGTTCAGGGCAATTTGGAGTTTACGACCAGTCTTTGCTTCAAAAATACTGCAAAATTACGATGACAATTTTTTTTAACAAAGCGGCTATACCTGTTGAATGACCTGAACCACTTAAATATTATGTGATACACTCAACATGTAAAAAGGTTATTTAGTGGGGTAAAAAAATAAATAGGAAAATTCCAAATATGTTAATAAGATCATGTCATACTTGTTGAAGAGATGCTCTAGTTTCAACATTTCAAAGCAAAATTCACTGTATGGAGTACAAAAATTCCATAAACAAACTTCTCAAATCTATTTGCCCCTTACAGAGGTCAGCTCTTGGTGAATTAATTCAATTCCCTACATAATGGGGTAATTCAAGGTTTTCCAAATTTCAACAAATTTGTTAGCTAAGCAGAGAACTGAACATCTTTGTATTTTTCTCTAAAAATATGTCAAATTTGACAGGCACAGCCGACTTTCAGATAAAAATTGTCAAGGTCATTTTGCAACTATTTTCGGGGGTAATACCACAAGTGCTTGGAAATTATCTGGTTCATTTTTAGGCACGAATGGTATTTAGGGAGGATATTTCACGAATTTCATAAAAATTGTAAAATTAAATTAGATTTTAAGTAATTTGTTAATGACAATAAGCCGGTTTCCAGCAGACCATTTTGAGCACGCAATCGAGCTTTTGCGCGCGCAAATGCTTCGAGCGCGTGTTCAGTGTTCAGTGTTCC